TCTCTCCTTCTCTCTTTCTTTCTTTTTCTCTCTTTCATGGTTTTCTTTAAACAAACCAAGGTCCCTTCCCTCCTTTCCTGATGGCCACCCCCCCCCCCAAATTAAATGTAAGCAGAACTGTACACACAGGGAGAAAAGGCAGTCAAAGCTACAGGGGTGGGGGTCTCCCGGAAAGAATGCATCCTAGCCCGGGGTGTTCCCAAGTTCTCGCTCCCTCCTCATCTTCAAAGCAGGAACCCCCATTACCGGGGTTACTGTAGTGCACAATGACAGCCCTGTACCCCCTGCTTCTCCTCAAAATGCAGCTGTTTTCTGAACTTTCTGGAGGGAAAAAAGCTGTCTCCGTATCCCCTTCCAGCCCAAGGTTTCAAGGGCTTGATTGTAGAAAAAGAGCCAAGGGCACAAGGAGACAAGTGAAGCTGAGCAGAGGTGCAAAGCAGAAAAGCAAACGGGGCACAGAGAATGCGGAGTGTGGAGGTGCTCCGTGCGGGACACAGAGCTGTCCTACCTGAGGGTCCCAGCGACGACCGACCGACCGACAGAGAGGCTCTGAGTGGCAGGAGCTGGCAGCGGAGTTCTGTGACCGCAGTGAGGGGAGGGACCTGCCTCCGGAGGTTATAAGTTTCCTCTGCTGGTGTGTTGGGATGTGTGATGGGCGGTTTCTTTTCACTGTGTTTTAAAGGAGTTTCTATGAATCAGTCTGGCTTTAAAAAAAAAAAAAAGATTTGTTAGTGAGTTACGCCCTGCTAAGTTGGCAGCCAGTCAAGAGTGGCTGGGAATGAGCCATCAATTCAAAGAAGCCTGTTGTAGGCCCTCTCTGACTCAGACACACAACCACAGTGGAAAAAGGAGTGACATTGCTTCAAGTGAGTAATAGGGATCACACAAATAGATCTGTTTACCAAAGCCCATTCCTCCTTACCAAAAGGTTACCATGGGTATAAGGCAAAACACAAGGCATGTACCCAAGCATCCAGCTAGGCACAGGGAGGGATGGGAGACAGTATGCTGCTCATTGAAATCATTCTTCCCCCCAAAGGCATCAGCTGCTTCTCATGACCGGGACTATCAGATTTATTTCTTACTGCTTCCCTGCCTGACCCCCGTGCACTGTCCGGCCCTAGCAGCAGAAGAGGCCATGCTTATCAGCCTGCCTCTGAGTGATGCATGGAGAACAGGCCCTGGTCTTTCATAATGCTGGGTTAATGCCATGCCGGATTAATTTCATGATGCTGGGTTAATGCCATGCGGACTTTTCACGGCAGCAGGAAGTTCTCTAGCTAAGAACTTTGCTCTCTGGTTTGCACTTAATAATCATTTGGACCTTGTTCCACAATGCAGTTTCTTGTACTTGAGCTAGTAGCATATGCATCATCGCCACTTCCCTGGGCCACTCCTTTCTCATTCAAAATTAGAGCCCTAGAAGTCAACTAATCCCACAGCCCAGGCATTCCACTGGACAAGTTCATAGACCAGCTCCAGGGCCACCTAAATTCAAGCCTAATTCCCCACTGACTAGCTGTGTGACTAGCAAGTCACTTCCCCTCTCTGGGCTTCCATTTCCCAGTGTGTAAAATGGGGGTAGAAAGTGCCTATTTCAGAGAGTTGTGTTGAGAAACACAATATAGTGCTTTTAACAATGCTTGGCATATACTGAACACCCAATAAATGTTACTGCTCTCTTTTCCATTGAGTTTTTTTTTGTCTGTTTTAATTTGTTATTCGCGTTAGTGTTTGTTTTATTTTTAACGTCTTTTTCTCTATGTATATTATCCAGGATAGGTACATCTCTAGAGACAGTAACTGGATTAATGGTTTCTTGGGGGCATGGCAAGGGAGGTTGAGGGGCAATTGGGAGCTCATGACAATGAGTACGAGTGAAGAAAATATTCAGGTGAATGAATGAATGAAATGAATGAATGAAACTGGGTCGATCATTGTACAGCTGATTAATTGAGCTACTGAATATGTGAATTATATGCCAATATTGAACATGTGAATTATATGCCAATATTGAACATGTGAATTATATGCCAGCAAAGAGGTTGGAAGAAAAAGAGAGAAACACAGCTTTTGTGTAAATAAAAGAAACCGTCACAGCATTACCCTAAACATTATTCCTGCAATTGAATGTTTTTATTTTTCTAGCAATGAATCATTGGGGGGTGGGGTGGGGAATGTAACTTTAAAAAATGATAATAATGAAAAAACAACCATTGCAAAGGGTGTATTTCAAACAAATTTAAGTTCACTTCATTATCTTAAAGAAAAACACACCCAACTTTATATTTAAAAAGAACGAAAGTCCTTGAGCTTGCAAAAGTTTTGCACTCCTTGCTAACTGGAAGGTTGGAATTCGAACCCACCCAGAGGCATCAAGAAAAAAAAAGTCTAAAAAATCCACTTCCATAAAATTACAGAGCCGCCCCCACCCCACCCCACTCCACTCCCCCAGCCCCGATTCCTAGGCGGTGTTACACAGCGTCCCTGTGAACCGGAACAGACTTGCTGGCTACGTATTTGGCTTTTGCGTTTCTAATGAGTATTTTACAGAGGACGAAACTCAGCTTCCAAGAGGGGGTGGAGCAACATAAAGGAGAAGGCCCAGGCAGCTGCGCTAGCTGCTTGAGTTCAAGTGCGCCGCCTCGCTGCCCATCTGTCATGGTGGTCCCCGGCTGCAGCCAGTTAGCCAATCACCGTTCTGACTCAGGGCAAAGCCCTGTGTGTCACGGTGGACTGTGCGCCGTGGAGTTAGTTCTCAGGGGCCGATTTTCCGCAGGTAGTTTGCCTATCCTGTCTTCCTAGTCACCTCTGGGTGAATTCAAACTGCCAACCTCAGGATCACAGTCGAGCGCACCAACACTGCAATGTCCTGACCACCTACTTCAATTCAGATTATGCCTAGCTACTATTTGTTCATTCAACCAATGCCGAGTGCACGTCCGCCGCACCCTCGGCACCGCGCACAGCTTTGCTCACGGACGTCCTCTGGGGACTCACACGGCCGCAGTGTAAAGACGGCAGACCAGTTGGTGGCTCTTCTCCGCCACGTTTGCGTCAACATCTCTAGGTGGGAAAACCAAAGGTGAGTTTTCGTTTCTTCTGGGCAGATTCCTGTATTTTCTAAACCCTCTGCGGCGCATGTCTCCGCATGACATTGGGTCTCTCTCACATGTGCACTGCTAGCCAGTTGATTCTAACTCACGGAGACCGTGTAGGGGGAGGGGTGCTGCACCTGTGCATTTCGTTGGTAACTCTTTATGGGAGTAGGAAGCCCCCACTTGCTACCTTGAAGAGGCTGCTGGTTTCAAACCTCTGACTCTGCAGTTAGCAGCCCCGACTCGTAAGCGCTACACCTCCAGGGCTCCCTTGCTTTTGCCTCCAGGACGCACTGCTTTGAAGCGAAGGGAGAGAGCTTCATTTGAAGGGCATGGCGATGGAAACAGGGCCATGCCCACAACGCTGTGGGGGTTGCACCTTCCCAGGTCGCTGAAGGCTGGAGTCTGGCCCTAGGAAGACCGCTCGTTTTTCATTAAAAGCTGCTGATGGGAGCAAGGATTGCATCCGTTTCACATACCTCTCCTCACTCCTAGCCAACCGCTGCCCTCCGCCCCACCCCACCCCCGCCCCCATCACTCATTTGACCGTGAAGATGCCTTTCGGAGAGAAGCCACGCCCATAAGTGGAGCAAGAGTCCTGTGATCTCAGAGGAGCCCAGTCCTCGGGGAGGGGAGGATGACTGAGGGAGAGGCCCTGGGATCCCTCTGGCAGGCAGCAAGGGTGGGGGGAGGGCCCGCCCATTCCTGCTCTGGAATCTGTCACTCTCCCTGCTTCGCCCCTCCTGAGCTTGCCTTTCACCTCCAAGGCCTTCAGCCTGTCTTAAACTGCCCCTTCGTGGTAGCATGGGGGTGGGGGAGCAGGCCTGCCCCAGAAGAATCCCAGGATGAGGAGAAGAAAACTGTCTGGTTGCGTGCGTTTTTTAAAAGAGAAATCTAGAGCCAGGGGATTTGGGAGAGGAGGTGCTCCCTCCCTCCAAAGGAAAGGTCAAACTGCTCCGGAAGGGCTGCAGGAAGCACGGCATGTGGTCCTTCTGGGTTTGAAGGGGCAGATGGATGGGGAGTAGCTCTGACAACGTGGACGGAGCACATTGAGACCCGGCTTGCCCCTCCTTTGACTGCATGGGACGCAGGGTCAGCAAAGAGCTGCTGCTCTTTGTTTAGCCCTTCAAGGGGGTAATGTCCTACCTGCCCCAGGAGCCTAATAAACCTCAGGCAGCCCCACCTTCCTAGACTCTGGGAGGTGTTTCAGGTTTGGAGAGAGGAAAATGTAATGCTTTTAACTCTTACAACTCTCTCTCTCTCTCTTTCTTCCTCACTCTGTCTCTCTCTCACACACACACACAATCAGTGCAACATATCAAGCTGAGTTGTGTAAATATTTCTTAAGCATAATTGCCAGCCCTAGATTTCTAAAGGCTCACAAGTAACCCTTAAAATATCCCTGCGCTCCTGTTAGAAAACAAAGCCATCAAGACAGGGGAGAAACTAGATGCTGCCCTGGCTGGGTGTGTCTAAAATGCCCTGCCCCACAGGCTTTAAGACTGTGCACAGGAAAGGGTTGGAATGTGACTCTCCCTGGCATCTACATAGACTTTCCAAATCATTTGGGGCAATTTGCGTTTCTCCTCTGTGCTTCTATTTCCCCCATTTGGAAGGCAGGGCGAGCCCATTCATCTTCCACACAGGCCAAGAATCAGGCCAAGTGTCATTTGACCTCAGGGAGGCCATTCTCCTGGGGAGAGAATGTTCCTTCTGCCCCAGCCCTCCAGCGTTCCTCTCTGGCATAGGAGGTCCTCCTGCGAGCCGGCCATGGCGCTGTTTGGCGCAATTCTTCAAGTTTGAAGCCGCATAGACACTTCTAATGAAAATAGGAACTGAGGGCTTGTAACGACTGATGGATTCAGAGAGAAGCCTCCGAAGGTAGGCCCGGCCTCCTCAGAAGCTTAGAATAGAAAACCCCAGCTTGTTTTCGCTCAAATTCTCTTAGCCAAAAGAATCCAAAATTATGCAACATGTTCCCCAAAGCTATTTCGTGCTCAGGGAATGTCAAGGTTAACATTAGCAAACACTCCTTGCAAGGTAAATAGTTTGAAAAAAATAAATAACACAGTGTCTTCCAAAGTCAAATGAATGCCTGTCCCTTGCCACTCCTCTTTCAAATTTGAGCCTTGATCAGAAATGTCATCTGTCTCCTTCCTTCGGCGAGCCCTCGTGTCGTCGTGGCTACCTGCTGGGCTGCAATCCAGAAGTTCAGCAGTTCGAAACCCCCAGACAGTCTGCCCGAGAAAGACCTGGCTCTCTCCTCTTATAAACAGTGCTGGTTCGGAAACGCACAGGGCAGTTCTCCCCAGCCCCCAGGGTGGCGGTGGGACCACCGGCCTCAGCTCGAGGCCTTTGCTCCTTCCATTTGTTTCCCGTGTTTTTTCCCTTTGGTTATTGCTTTCTTTCACTGTTTCTTTATTTGTTCCGCAGGTCTTTCTCCTCCAGCTTTTCCTGATTAGATTCCTCACAATTAAATGTAATCAAATGCTGAATCCTAAGCTCGCCTTGCAGATGACATCAGCCACTTCCAACCCAGGGCAACCCCACGTG